GAAACACAATTAAATTATCGTCAGACCACCGAATCGCAGGTTGATGAAGTTACAAAGTTTGAACGAGACTACGTGCCTCCAAACTTTACAATAAAAGAACTGCGTCAGGCAATTCCAGCACACTGCTTTGAGAGAAACACGTTGAGATCAGCCAGTTATATGGTTAAAGATCTTGCGGTAATTGCAGTTCTGGTCTATGCAGCGACATTTATTGACACACACTTTCCACAGACGATCCGTTTTATCTCCTGGCTCGTATATTGGTTTTTTTGTGGCGCTTTTGCGACAGGTTTATGGGTAATCGCACATGAATGTGGGCATCGAGCCTTTTCACCATACAAGTTCATAAACAACACAGTTGGCTTCATATTGCACACAGCTTTATTGGTTCCGTTTCATTCGTGGAGAATAACACATTCTAAACATCACAAACATACAGGACATGTGAAGAAAGATCAAGTATTTGTACCAAAAACACGAACAAGGTTGGGTCTTCCACCGAAGGATAAAGATCATGATGACGAAACGTCAATATTTGAAGAGACACCTATTGTCTCACTCGTGACCTTAATTGCTCAACAGTTGTTTGGATGGCCGCTATATTTAATAATTAATGCATCGGGACAAGAATACAAGGGACGCTGGGTCAATCATTTTAATCCATCATCACCTATATTTGAACCTAAACATTATAACGATATAATTATTTCTGACATTGGAATTATCATAGCATTATCTTGTATTTGTTATTTTTCCTATATCTATTCATTTATGACTGTAGTAAAATACTATTTAATACCTTACTTGATTGTAAATCATTGGCTTGTTCTCATAACTTATCTTCAACATACTGATTCAAAATTACCACATTATCGCGACGAACAATGGAATTTTGTTCGCGGAGCTGCTTGTACAGGTATATAATAATATATAAGGAATTTTTCTCTTTTTTTTTTTTTTTTTTTTTTTCTCAATTTTTTTTTTTTTTATTCACAAAATTATCGCAGTGGATCGTCATTTCGGATTTCTTGATTCTATATTTCACCGAATCTCGTCTACACATGTTGCACATCATTACTTTAGTAAGATGCCACATTATCATGCTGAAGAAGCAACCATTCATCTTAAAAAAGTTCTAGGTTCTTATTACATTTTTGATGACACACCTATCTTTAAAGCTTTATGGGAAAGTTATAATCAATGTCGGTTTATAGAAGACGAAGGTGAAATTATTTTTTACAAAAATTAAACATTGTGATTTTCTTTAGATAGCGATGTAATTACATTTTCGCATGCATAAAAAAAAAAAAATAATAATAAAATAATAAATTATTTCACGATACCAAATATTAAAAAATCAATTTAAATTCACTTTTGAATTCTACTTTATATCTTTTATCACCGAATGTTAATGTTAAATTTGTACAAAAATTATGAAAATTATGTCAATATTAGTGTAAATTAGAGCACTACCTTTCTAACAAAGGGGTGCATTTGTGAGATTCATCTGTTTGGAGAATTGAAATGATACTGTTTGTCATATCATAACTTCGATATGACTTTAATACGTATTATTTTTAAATATGCACTTTCATTGTTAACAGTTAAATAATTAAAAATGTGGCTTTTTTTAACCGTTAATATTGCCGACATAATTTTATAATACTAATGGGCCGGCCCTAGGTTTCATCCGA